ACTGGGCTGATTCATAAAAAGGAATTCACACTGTCAGCTGATGAAATCTGAGCCTCAGGAATGTGTTGCTTCCTCACACAACACCTGGCATTTCTCCAACAACAAGGCTTGGCATGTAGTTCAAATCATGCTGTTTTGGCAGGATACAACACAATTATACTGACAGACCACATACAGTGAATATGAACAGAAGAATAACCAGAAATGAATTAAAGCCAGTGCAGGCAACTGTTATGAGTTCACTACTAACTACACAACCCTGCTCTGGCATTTCATCAAGGTAGTGTAGCAATACTGTTTGTTGTAATACTGTTTCCAAAACCTTGTTATATCGGTGTGTTGTGTTTGGGAACTCCTGGGGAAGCCCTTGGATGCTTTGTTGCTTTTGCATAATTGAAGGTGGAATTAGGAAGCAGGAGAGGGCTGGAGGGCAGAAACAAAGGATGGCCACACACACAGCATGGAAAGCAGGCCAGATCACTTTATTACTGTTTGATAATTGAGTCATGGTGCGTGGACCTGAACTTCCACTAAAGGGTATCCCTCAAAATAATAAAACAATTTAAATGAAAATGTGAAAATAGGTAAATATTCCCTCTCAACATTAGAAAAATGTGAAATTATTTTTGATTTTTTAAATTAAATTATTCATAGGGTTATCAATGGGCTATTAATGCAACAATAAAGCTGTTAAATTAATCCACTAATACATGTATTTGTTTTACTAAATTAATGATATATGTTTAGGGTTTTATGCCTTCATTTGATAGTCCACCCTAACAGCTTATGATATGTTGAGATGCTTTAATGTTCAAAATAAATATTTGTCTCATGCTTGAGAAAGAGCTTCAGCACCTCTTTTCACCCTCTGTGTGAAACCAGAAAGGCGTGGACCTGAACTTCCACTAAAGGGTATCCTTTAGGAGCGCTATTGCCCATTGTCCCCACTGCCTGGAGATGACCCTGTCACCTCTCCCACCTCTACTCAGCCCCCGGCCATCAGCTCACAGTCACCTCTCACATCAGCCCCTGCTTCTTCTGGACTGATAATTCTGCTGCTCTGTACAAGAAGGGACAGAGCAGACTCTTTCTGCTGAGGAGACTGAGGTCTTTCGGGGTGCAGGGGGCACTCCTTCGGACATTTTATGACTCTGTTGTGGCATCAGCCATTTTCTATGGTGTGGCCTGCTGGGGCTGCAGCATCTCGGCTGCTGACAGGAAGAGACTAAACAGACTGGTAAGGAAGGCCAGCTCTATCCTGGAGTCCTCTGGACACTGTGGAGGTGGTGGGAGACAGGAGAATGGCAGCCAAGCTGTCCTCCCTGCTGGACAATGTGTCTCAGCCCCTCCAGGACCCTGTCCTCACTGTGCAGCTCCCGACAGGCTGCTGCGCCGCAGGTCCTTCCTTCCTGCAGCGGTCAGACTATACCACCAGAGCAGCCCCTAGTAGACCCATTGATTCTGATTCCAATAAAAGCATGAGTGTTAGTCATTATTTAACAAGATATAAATATATATATATGTGGTGTCTCGTCAATTGTGTTAGTTGTCTTTGTTTTATGTCTGTCATTTCATGTTTAGTCAGGTAATTTTGTCATTCCAAGTCTAGTCAGGTTTCTATGTAGTCAGGTTTTCATGTTACTTCACGTCTTGTCTCTCTATTTTATCTCTTTCATCTGGGTGGGAGACAGGAGAATGGCAGCCAAGCTGTCCTCCTTGATGGACAATGTGTCCCACCCCTTCCAGGACACCCTGTCCTCACTATGCATCTCCTTCAGCGACAGGATGCTGCACCCCCGCTGTCTCACGGAGAGATACCGCAAGTCCTTCCTTCCTGAAGCGGTCAGACTATACAACCAGCACAGCCCCAGTAGACCCCCCCCCACACACACAACAACAAAGACTATAACACCCCTTGCTGCTGTTAAATACCAACCAACTATGTGCAATAAGTGCTATATATATATATGCCGCTAATAAGTGTGTTGTATATACCTGGCTGCTATGTGGACGCACCGTTACGTATCGTCCACACGGTTCAGTCGTGTTGAAGCTTGCCGGTGGGCGTGTCTGGTTTATACTGGCATATGATTTGATTAGCTGGCGCTTCCGTCAATGCTTGAAAAGTTTAACTTTGCTCAACTTTCGAAGTGAGCAATGGAGGCAAAGCGACGGAACCACAATGCAGTTGAATACTTTTTAATACATGTAACATATGAAACATATGTAACATTAAGCTGTCTGTGGCTCTTTTTCTGCTGTAAAAACGTACATTTCCCCTCTATGGGACTAATGAAGATATTCAGATTTTTTTTTAAAAGACCGAAACTCCCTCTCGAGGAACTTTGGGATTTTATCCTTTTTATCCATTTTAATACACAAAAAACAATTACACACTAGGAAAGAGAAAGCCCATAAAGCATTATAGGGCCGCTATAATTAATAGAAAAATCATATCAAACCTAGCACCAATTGAGTTACCCCATTGTTTGTGACTCTCTGCTGACTATACGTTTATTTTTTATAAATCAATCGATTGATCAGAATTTACAGTTGCTGCAGGCTTTATGGTTACACGCCATAACCGCAACGTCCCGGATTCAACCCCATAATCTCTGATTTCCTTTTTTTTGCATTTGCACTGCCATTTGTCCAATTAGGGCTCAACAATGGTCAAATAAAAAAAAAAAAGTGTTGTTTACCACAATAAATGGTTATTCTGCTTTCTGCCATAATTCATAATTGTGAAAAACATTGATCAACCTGCCTAAATATTTTACCTTTTGATCCAAACGTTATCTGAAAGTTATTTGACTAGAGAGTGGCTGGAGCTGATCCAAAATGCCATTGGATGAACAGTGTTTTTACTGCATGGGCAGGACGCCAGGCTGACCTATACAACAATTTTCACATATTTCTGGCAATTAAGAGTTGACAATTAACCTAACTTGCATGTCTTTGCACGATAGGATGACTGTTTAAACACAAAATATCAATAAAACATGATAATTCATTTAATAATTCATGAATATGGGACATCTGAATCATATTTAATCTCAGACCTAGCTGTAATGGCTTTATGGGCCAAGTTTTAAAGCAAGGTATGCATTACATGCTTTACAAAGCCATACAAATAACAATTACATGTAGTTTGTCATGCCTTAAGTGTAATGAATCATTATATCTGCAAATTGAAATGACTCAATAAGCCATTTCTGTTAGATTGTAAAATCTGTATAAAAACTTGCATCGACTTGCTGTGAGCCCAAGGGTGGAGATGCAACAGCATAAGATTCAGTTGACCTGTTAAGGTTATTATGTTAGGTAGGAAATAGAATTGTACCAACAAGATCTTCTTGAAATAAAAATAATTTGTATTGATTTAAAATGCCAAGACTGAATCCACAACTCTAGAGAGACATTAAAACTGAACTTCAGAAAAAAATATAAATGAAACAAAAAGGAGAGTCTGCAGCCAACTAGTGGGCCTATGATGCTGTTTAAAAAGCAGGGGGGCTATGTGAGCGTTAACATACTCGATAAGACAATGCTAGATGGTCACTGGGCCCGGAAAGACTTTTCCCCATTGACTAACATTGGGAAAGAGACGTCTGTAAATCGTTGGATACTTTTTTTTAAACTAAATCAACTACCCAGTATGAACATTTGTATAACCCTTATTAAAAACATTCGGTCCTTAAGTTGTAAAATGTGCTAATGACGTTATTCTGAGAGTTATTTTCCTCGGCATTATGAACGCTGATCCAACCCACGGGACCGCGCCACCCGGTACGTTCATGTGACATGTTCAGTACTACACGTGTTTTACCTTTACCCATGGATGCACAATAAGAACGGATTATATGATTATATGAATACTTTCGTGACGTTTCGCTCTCTCAAAAGTTGGGCCATTTGTCTTCCAATGAGCAACTCTCATAGGAATGAACGAGGCCCCGCCTCCCACGCTGTATCCAGTTCTTATTATACATCCAGGTGCTGGACAAACCAATCTGAGTAGGGCGACAGGACGCTCATCAACGGCCACATATCTATCGACGGCCGAAATCGGTCCGCTGTGTCCGGGCCTTTAGATGCTCCAGGATTTTGCGCTTTCAAAGCATTAATGCATTCATTGCATCCATCACTTCCTGCAATGTGCATTCTTTTGTTGTTGTTGCATATGCTATATAAAATACATTGAACTTGAACCAGATCAGTGTTTTCTTATAGCGTAAGGCAAGTTTGATTAAATACTTTTAAAGACTTTTTGTATGCAGCTCGGAGTAAAATAAAGACCAACTTTAATAAATAAAAACAGACATCAATTGTCTTGCCTAGGGCAGCAAATTGGTCAGGGCCGGCCCTGACACAGGGCTTACTTTTTCTCATTTTAATCTGACCCACCTTCAACCTCGATGGTTCAAGCTGCTATTTGCTCTGCATCTGCTGACTCACAAACAACTGTGGAACGGTGGCGCGCTTGTAGTAATTGCGCCGCATTTGCGCTTCAGATGAGGCTCTCTCCGCAAAATGAGGCTCCCTCCGTGGGATGATGCCACCTACGCGAGGTGAGGCCTCAAGCAGTCTGGTGATCTGCGGGAGGAGCGGGCCTAACGTCAGTCTGTATATGAGTCAGAAAACCAGAGAACTCCAGAGTGTAACATGACATCAGTACACGTAAAGACAAGTTATGAGCGTGCATTTTGTTTGCAAGAGCACATCCATATTCATAAACAGTTTTATTGTGTGGGTGATATCTCTCCCTCAGCCCACACTTTTCAAGGAAAGACAGGTTACACAACAGACAGCTGAAACTGTAGCGAAAGTTAATCCTGTCATGGGGCTGGGGAAGGGATGAGTTTCGATTTGTTTTGGTGAGTATTATACGCTGCTCCCTCAAAATAAGCACCACCAGAACTAGGAAGCACGCAAGGTCATGCTCGTTCTCAGCTTGTTGACAAGATGATATGGATTTCCTTTAATGATAGCCTGGCCTGTCCTCTCCTATCCATGATCATTTAAAGTTATTAGCCAGGTCAAAGTATTCAAAAATATAATTCAATTTTTCTTACCACTTCTTCCGACGTAATTATGAAAAACGTTTTTAAATAAAAACTGAAAACATTCCCTGGGAATTTCAGAAAGGACAGCAATGCTCAGATCTAATATTAGATCAAACAAGTGTTTTCAGATTCTGAATGTTTGGTTAAAAAAAGTATTTGTGGACCCAATTACGTCACGGTCTGAAACGGCATCAAAAAGCATATTTTGGCCACTACAACTACTGCCGCGTACTGCCTGGGTGCTTGGTCTTTTGCGATTTATTTGCCTTTTTACTGCTGTGTATTACGGGAGCAACTTTAGGTCATACTTGGTTATGTGATTCATTTGCTATAATTTGATCAATCGCAAGCGTTAACTTTGGGTTTGAAGCGTTTGAAAAGGTGTTAACAGTTTTTTATTTCCTGTCATGAACTTAATCAAGCACAAGACAAGTATTTCACAACACAAGAAGCGAAGAAATAGATACATATTACAGAGATGATAGATGGCATCTGCTCAACAAAACTAACAAAAACAACTTTGTTCAACTTGTAGATGTATAAATATTGAGTACTGTAGTGTACACAGACAAAACTCTTCAAATCTCCACTGAAACCAGAACTTGCTCGGTAGAGCTTGGACAAGCCGCCATTAGCTCCAATCTGCAGGCCATTACAATTTAGACATTTTAAATATATGCTGCAGCTATTCACTGAATACTTAAGTGGCCTACATGTCTCCTTTTTGGAGTTTGTGACTGCTATGGTGGGTTAGCCGTCAGGGGAGCATACACTGTTTATTTCATCGTCTAGAGTTTTTGATTTGTTACTTCATGTGTACCAAACCTAGAAACCTGACATTAGTTTTGGCATTAAAGGTGAAAGTGAGGGTTTGGTAGAAATTAAATAAGACACAATCCTCCAATAGACAACTTTACAGTGGCCATTTTGCATCCCCTTTGTATGCGCTTACCATCGTTCGTTTCATGAGATCGTGGACACTCTGAAAAAGTTAGTTATTTGAAATTTTGTATTTACAATTTCACAAATCTGGGCTGCAAAATGTTGCAAGAAGCAATACATAAGAAATAAACTCCTTGTGCAGCACTCTTCAGGAGGGTACAGTGGTTTTTGAGGAATGTTGTTTCTCTCTTTTTGTGTCAACTCAACTTTTTTTAATTTGTTATACAGCACGTTTTGGTTTTTATAAAATATCTTCGAAAAAAACAAACACTTTGAAAGGAGTTTTCAGCAAACTGTTCTCTGTCCTCATGTTATTGGAAAGAAGTTACATCCACATCCTCTCGTAAATGAATCACAACATGTTTTTGGTTGTTGAACGTGTTGCACAGCAAAAAAGTTCAAATTTCAGCACAGAAGGCCTCAGAGATTCTCCAAAGTTATACAATTTTCTTCTACACACAGAATCTTTTAGAAACTCTCAATATTTCTGGGGGAAACAAAGAGTTGCGAATGGGAGTGAATTTTCAAGGGCAAATTCAAATAAAGATATCACGGAAATATAACAGCTATGAAAATCAGAATAATTCTATAACAAATCATGGTGAAACCATAGGAATGTAGAACAGGGTGACGTAGATAGCACAAAGATGTAGTTAAAGTACAAAAAGGTCTCTGGAAAAAATCTGTATAGCAAGAGTTGAATTGTTCTATAATTTACATGTATAGCTGCTTCAGAGTTCACACAGTATGTACTACTGTAACTGGTGGAAGCAGTTTTAAGACAATAATGTATTTATATATTTACAAATCATTTTTCCTGTGCAAGTTTCAGGTGTTTTGTTACTTTGCACAGTCCCCTTGCATCTTCACACCTGCATGCAAGAGGTCAGAGTTCAATGGACTTCTAGAAAAAGTGTCAAAAGTCACATTTTCACCTCTGCGTTTGCACCCCTGGGAATTTCTGACGTTAAAGACAGAGATTAGGTGTCTGATGTCAGCGTGTGTTTGGAGGACGGGCGGTCATGTTGGGATTTCCTCTCTCTGCTGGTTGGATGGTGATTTAAAATTAATCCTCATTATCATCAACGGCTGCTCTAGGTTGTCTGCAGGGGAGATAAGGAAAATACATTATTACAGAAAGAAAATAAAGAACAATTCATTTTTTTTTTTGTAGGAAAGAATATTTTCTTATGTGCTGAGCAGCTAAAAGAGTGTAACTCCTGTTTTCCATCATAGTTACTGTTACTTACACGAACAATTGTTTTGCATAGCTAGTGTCCTAACACCTGCTTTGTATTTTTTATTGTGAGCGTAGCTACTTCATGGCAGGTTGACATTTACATTGATGACTCTGTGCTGCCATTAGACCGTGACATTAAAAGAAGTAGTGGGGGCAGAAAAACTGTACGCTGTGTTTGTTGTATTTGCCTCGTCCAAAAGGTGTTTGTTGTCTTTGAACACACAAACATTGGAGGGGATATTACCTTGTGGGAGGATAGGCGACGCCACTGTCTATTTCACATGTGTCAACTCTCCAGAGAAACTGCTTTTTTATTACATTAACTCCAAAGATAAGCACATTCCTGCTACCTACCATTACTTATGTTTGTAATTTCATAATGCAATATCATGATATATCATGATTAATAAATACTGGAAAATAAATTGAGAAACTTCTAATGGATCAAATAAACAGGTAGCAGTGGCTTAAACCAGGCCTCTCACCACATTGATGCTAATAGATTTATAAAAACAATATATTTCCATAGCCTAGTTTGAAAATTATTTGAGGCCTTTACAAGTTTGGACAGTTTTTTTTATTATTTAAAAAAATAAAAACGTAGTTGTACTATATTTTGTACCTGTGCACTCTGCCTCTGCATCTTCTGCATGGAGAAGGACGCCGGGTCTCTCTCCCCCGACCCTTCTCGTTCCGATTCACGCTCCCTCTTTCCTGTAATGCTTCCTCTGCTGTGCAGAAGTCCTGAATGTCACAACAGGCAAGACAAAAAAGGTTATTGTTAGAAACACTCTACGAGGTTTATGTGTGATTACTAAGTAAGAAGTAAAGGTTATGTGATTACTCATCAGAGTAATATGTTGCCTAGGCACATGTGTATCTAGATACAAAAAAAAAACCATGAGAGCCCAATGTTAGAGAAACGTGCTTATCCATCTGCATCATTCCCGACGCTCTATATAAATGTGTTAATGTTTGATAAACATTAGCAAAATAACCGATAAGGCAACACATTAAGAATTGAATTGATTGCACAGTGGACAGCCTCAGTGACATTTATAAAATACATTAAAAATAAACCATGAATAAGGAAAATAAAGTTTCCAATTAGTTAGTGATTATTGATATATCTGTTTTCGGACTGTACACAAAAGTGGCCTTATTCTCCTTTACAATAATTCACTACAGGTTTATAGTTGGATAGGCATCAATAAGTCAGTATTAATGCAATAATTAGGTGTACGTGGTGCTACTAATGGATCATTTCTATCACATGCTATAGCTGAACATCCAGCAGCACACCAGCGACAGTGGTACCAGCCCCTTCCTGTTTCCTACCTGGGTGTTGAGGCACGGCGAACTCGTGGTAGAGTCGGCTGCTGGTGATGGTCTGGCTGGCTTCTGGCACTGAGGGGTATCCTGCAACAGAAAACAGCAAACAGACATATTTAATTGTGTTATTAATGAGAGGGCTCATAAGTATCATATACTCAGAATATAACAATTTCACCTTTTCCAAAAATAACAAATATATGGCATATTTAAAGCTAACATTTTAAATGCGCCAAAGAACTTCCAAGGCTAGTTTTTACTGTTTTCAATGTTGGCCCGTAGTTGTATGAATGAAATCCAGGCCTTTACTGGTTAGTCAGGACATAAAAATTAGAGTGACATGTATGTTGGATTAGATGAGATAATATGAATGCCCATAGGGAAATTCAGGTGTCAGCAACAGCAATAAAAGCATTGCAAAGGATAGGAGAGGTAAGAGGTCACACAAGGATAATGAAAATAAAAATGTAACAGAATAAATAAAAAATATATGAGACCACAATACTTAAGTACTGAGCAACAATGAGTAAACCCTACGTTTGACAACTTTTAATACATTTTTAAGCGTGCGTTTTGGGCGATGCTACCGGAAAGTCTTTATAATCGAAAGTGTTCATTCTCTGGGAAGGATGAATCTCAATGTCACTCTGTCCATAACATTCTTTTTTGTCGTTAGAAATTGTTGGTGATATGCACGAAATAGACTAAACTAAGCGTAAAATGGTAGGAATGCTAACAGAAATTACTCATATCGAAGATCGCCCTACCATGCTGCTGCTGTTGTTGTTGTTGTTGTTGTTGTTGTTGTTGTTGTTGTTGTTGTTGTCTGCTGCTAGGCCCCATTTCTTCTTCATTTTGAAAGTGCAGGATGTTCCCGCTGCCGTTACTCGCTGCAACCGAACTCCCCGACACTCCAGGCACTGAGAAAAAAAAAACACAGACAAAAACATGAGACTGACTGATATGGGTAGGTGTACTGTAGCACGCCATTTCTACAATAGCATCAACGATAAGGGCAAGAGAAACGCTGACACATCTTTATTAATATTACATTTAAACAGATGACATTATGAAGACTACCCTAACCATCAACTTGAATCTAACTTTACATTTCACTGTATTTTTAAGCTTTTAGTTTCTATAATTACTTGAGCTGTTTTTTTTAAATGTTTCTTATTTCTTCTTATTTTTTTTTATTCTATACATAATAAACAACTGCTTTCGGACTGAAGGTACAGTATACAATAAGGAATGTTCCTTTTTTTGTTATTTTTATTTTTAAGAAGGTACAATCATAGACGATAAATAAATAGTTAAAATAAAATTCACTTACAATGTGAATTGTTGTTGTTGGTCCCTGGCTGCTGCTCTCCGAGGGGGTAGGCCATCATTCCTCCATTCCCGTTCCCATTGGAGGACGGGACTGATGCCAGCAGGCCTGAAAGAAACAAAATACACAAACACGTATTTATTTTGTGAAAGGAGAGGACATTTTTCTTGACAGTACAGATGACGTAACTGTCCCTATTTGAATACAATTTTGCCAGCCTCTGCCTTCCTTTGTGTGGAGCAAAAAGATGAGCCTGCATTTTTTGAGTGCAGTAAAAATGTTTTTTTAAGGCTAAACACCAAAAAATATAGATTTTAATTTCATTGGCCTTCGATACGCTCTTAAATTATGCACAATTTGGAAAGAATTCTACACAGTCACTACTGGAATGTTAAAAAAGTACAATATGTATAATATAAATGTAGCCATATCTTTATCTGCAGCGCTTTAAACAGAGAAATCACTGATGCCTTTAAATGTACGCCTCGAATGTCCACATTATAAATTAGGATTCAAAGCTTCAAACTCTTTGGTACCATGCAGATTTGTTACTTCTCTTACCCAGTCCTCTGTATCGGCTCAGCTGCTGGTAGATCTGCTTCATCCTCTCGATGTTGAGCCGGCTCGCCTCTGCGTGATGCACCATGGGTTTGGGGTAATGGACGCCTATGATGCACTTGGCCGCGGCCTGCACGGACTCCGGAGCGTTCCACGGGTCGTAGATGTACTTTGCAGGGAAACCTCGGAGGACAGGTAAGTATCGTCTGGAAGCACAGGGAGACATTAGATTTGCAGGCTTGTGTCAAGGTTGTGGAAGGTTACAGAGTTAACAGAAGCAGGATTAATGCAGAAATACAAGATCTCATAATTTAAAAGGATAGGAAAAATATTTGAAAGCAGTTGCAATAACATTATTTATGTGTTTTTACTATTGTAAATGTTAGTTTGTGAGGTTTTATTGTGAAATATTGAATATGCAGTATAATTGTTTTGTTAGCGTCCTCATGCATGTAAATGTCACACATTAACATAATACGTATGTGTTGTGACAGGGACGCTGTGGCTCAGTGGATAGCAAGTTCGAGTCCCACTGCAGTCAGCATGTCGTTGTGTCCCTGGGCAAGACACTTCACCCCAAATTGCTCCTGTGGGGATTGTCCACAGTACTGAATGTTTAGGCGCGTTCACACCAAGTACTTTTCCCACAAAGGTTCCTGAGGACTACGATTTAGTTGCGTTCACACCAAAAAGTCCCAGGAACTAAATTAGTTCTAGAGAACCTTTTTTACTCCCTTTTCAGTCCCTGCTAGAGAGCAGGGACTTTCGTGGGAGAAAAAGGTTCCTATGTCTGATTGGCTGGGCGGAATGCAAACCACGCCCAGTCAAACTCCCAAAAACTTTTGTGAAGCAGCCATTTTATTATCCTCGCATTGCATTATTAGCATTACCATTAGCCCAGCGCAGAAACGCAGAGAGACTAACTTATGACAACACAAAATAAAACATGGGAGCGGTGAAGATGAGGAGGTGTCGGCGTTCTGGCCGTTTACTCGGAAGGCTTCAGTAGAAGCTGCTGAAGTCAGTCCGCGGACTCCGGGGACTTCCAGCCGGGGATTTTGGGAGGCAGTATACGCCGTGAAGTTGTTTGCGGCCCGCCAGTAAACCCAAAGCAGAAGAAGAGGTGACGTCAGCGACTTCATTTGCCTAATCCACCCCCAGGAACAAATTTCCGGTGTGAACGCGATCTGTACTTAGTTCATGAGAACTAAAGAGTTCTCAGGAACTTTTTTGGGAAAAGTACTTGGTGTGAACGCGCCTTATGTAAGTCGCTTTGGATAAAAGCGTCTAACAAATGACATGTAATGTAAAATGTAATGACTGATAAGAGCTTGATGGTCATCACCACGTCATGCTTACAGGTCTTATGGAAAATAGCTGCTAGAAAGTGAAAGCTACTAACAACCACAACACTCAGTCACAATATGGCTGAAGTGCATTAGAGTGAGTTGTATCGCAGTGCACAATGAGGACAATGTAGAAAAAAGGAGGGGGGCTGTGGTCCCAGACAAAATGTACTGTAAGTTGGTGTCACAACAGCCACACTACAGACACAAAGTGTAAACCTCTGAGAGATGAAGCCGATAAAACAAGGGCTGCAACAAGATAGAGAGGCCAACATCTATCAGAATCAGAATACCTTCATTAGTCCCACAGAGTCTACCGTTTCAAACTGATGATGTTTTTTCTTCCCTTGGACTGTCATGGATTTGCTCCGTGTGACAAAGAGAGGCCATCTACCTATTGCACCAGGTCCGACCTTACCAAGCCCAAGGATCTATAGAGAGAGATCACTGCTGGTTGAACGATGATGCTAGGAGACGTCTACTGTGACACACGGTTAGATAGCAGAGTGCATTGACCCCCACCCACCACCACCCAACGTAAACTTGAATTTTTTTTTCTTAATTTGTACTACTTTCTTGTCTTTGATTCTCCTTTGGCTTAAAAAAAAAAAGCATACCCATATCTTTATATTTCTAGAACAGTCGTCAAGAAAAAAAAAAAAATTTCAATTTAGAGAAATATTCATAGGCCTATGAACTTTTAGGTTTTTTAAGCCAAATATCTTAGGGCTGGGCAGTATGTCGATATAATATCAGTATTGTGATATGACACTAGATATCGTCTTAGAATTTGGTATGGAATATCATAAGTGCTGTTTTTCCCGATTTACCTTCACCCATTACTGATGATCAAAGATTACAAAAAAAGTCTTTCCATATACTTTTTAATGAAAACTTAAATTGTCACCCCTACAATATCGTCGCAATACCGAAATAGATTTATTTGGTCAAAAAAAAATTGATTTCCTTCATAATCACCCAACTCTAAAATGTTGACGAAAAAAAAAAACTGTAGGTTTGTGTTTGATGACAGAAGTCCTCCATTGTACTTCACAGCTTCAGGACCCTCCCTCCCTCCAATTCCCCCCAATGGTCAGACAGTGGGGGACTGAGAAGTTAGCACATGCATTGAAGTGGTCAGATCCTGCTGACTGTCCCCCCCCCCCACAACCACAGCTCCACACTCCGGGCCGGCCCACTAGGAGGCCCCCTGATTTCACCAAAAAGGGAAAACAACCCTATTGCCAGGAAGAACCTTGACCTGCCGGTAGCAAGTGGTCCTGCAGCGGATGGTGGGTGGTGTGTGGGCGGTGCAGAGAGTGTGTCTGTGTTATAAAGTGAAGCTGAGAAAGGTTAAGCTTTCAGATACAACGCAAAATAAAATGGCAGTGCTGTTAAGCTTTATTGTTCAGGATTTTACATTGCAAATGGGTCTGCCTTGTTCACGTTGCATCTCATTTAAGCAAAATAGAAACAGTGCCAAAACCTTTTGCCGAAAATATTAGCATGCATTTTAAATGTCAAATCTGAAGAAAATCATGCTCATTTAATGTGGGAAGCCCGACTTGTGATCAACATTTATATGGAATTAATTCTGCAGCACTACTCTGCTGTATGTTTCCTTTTTTAAGTGGTAGCGACACATTTGAAATAAAAATGTTCCGCCTTGTGTATATTGGCCACAAACAACCAATGGATGAAAAACAGATATTATCAACTACATTTAGATATTTCTAGCTCCTAACCCTTTTTGTGCCACTAATATATAAGTTAAAGATTTAGAATTATACAAAATCAGTTCATGTGACCTAAAACAAGTTTCAATCTGTTGACTTTTTTTGAACAGGCTTTTTTTCCGCTGCATTTAAATGCTAGTATGTGTCCTTATTTAATGTGCGTGTTTTTGTGTCTCATTGTTTGATAAACCCAGAAACAACTGGTCCAGGTCCACCTGAACCGGCAGGGCTGCATTCCCACAAGCAGAGTACCACTGAACATTTCTCAAAAGGATCGGACAAGGGGCTTTGCCCAGCGTCTGGACAACGGACCAGCGAAGTGCGGCACAAGAAACGAGAGACAGAGTCACCATGCTGGTCCAACGCCTCTTCTCACCACCCTCTGGAGAATGCTTCATAGTCCTCTACCTAACGAACACAGGAAAGGCGTTTGCATTTCCCTAACAAGTGGTTTGCCTGAAGACAAACACAGAGCCACATCGAGAGAAAGAGAAGAATGAATCTTCTTTGATGTAGAAAACACCTGAAGCCACCACTCATATATAATGTAACGATATGCGAAAGTACACAAGAGGCGCTTTCACACCGCAGTACTTTTCCCACAAAGGTTGGAACTAAGTACAGATGGCGTTCACACCGGAATAAGTCCCTGGGGGTGGATTAGGCAAATGAAGCCGCTGACTTCACTTCTTCTTCTTCTGCTTTGGGTTTACTGGCAGGCCGCAAACAACTTCACGGCGTATACTGCTGCCCAAAATCCCCGGCCGGAAGTCCCTGGAGTTGGGGACTGGCTTCAGTAGAAGCTGCTGGGAGTCCCAGCAGCTTCTACTGAAGCCTTCCGAGTAAATCGCCAGAACGCCGACACCTCCTCATCTCCACCGCTCCCATGTTTTATTTTGTGTTGCCATAAATTAGTCTCTCTGCGTTTCTGCGCTGGGCTAATGCTAATGCTAATAATGCTAATGCGAGGATAATAAAATGGTGGCTGGCTTCACAACAGTTTTTTTGAGTTTTACGGGGCGTGGTTTGCAATCCGCCCAGCCAATCAGAAATATAGCTCTTTTCTCACAAGAGAGCCGCATGAGAGTCCCTGCTCTCTAGCAGCGACGGAAAAGGGGGTAAAAAGGTTCTCATTAACTAATTTGAGTTCCGGCTCTTTTTGGTGTGAACGCGACATTTCGGAACTATATCGGAACTAAAGTGGGAAAAGTACTCCGGTGTGAACGCGGCTAAGGACATTCACAAACAATTAAAGGCACCTAAGCAGTGCACTGTGAACACTGAATTACAAAATACACAACTGTTTGCAAATAAGAAAGTGCTGAACATCGAGCCCAGAAATAAATGGACAGACGGGCAAAAGAAAAAAAGAGGACAGGAGGGAAGGATGTTTTCTTTCATTCACTTACCCAGAGAGTCTCCTTTAATCCCCCATCTCTCTCTCTGCTTTTATCTGCTAAATTGTACCTGCCACCCTGTATGAGCTGTGTGTTTGAGTGTGTGTGTGTGTGTGTGTGTGTGTGTGTGTGTGTGTGTGTGTGTGTGTGTGTGTGTGTGTGTGTGTGTGTGTGTGTGTGTGTGTGTGTGTGTGTGTGTGTTCTTTGTCTATACAATAATATGAAGTCTCCTGCTCTCTGTGCCTATGTTTCCCTGTCTGCATGTAGTCCATAGACACAGAGGGAGGAAAGGTGCCATCCAGGTAGGGGGGTCAGCATTAAGATACCAATAAAAAGGTACCCACCTAATGAAGTCCCCGTTGGGGTCGGTCCGACGGCCGAAGCCCACAGGGCAGTAGCAGTGGAAAAACTGCTGGAAAAATGAACTGCAGGACAGCCACATCCAGCTGCCTGCGTTCACGCTCCAGTCTGCGTCGAGGAGAAGCTCCTCAAACACCTGTGACACAAAGACAACAGGCTCAGCGTCATGGCTTTCAAATGCTGAACAACATCCTGCCACTAACTCTTTTATGTCTTCAAGTCAGGCTTTTGTCTTACAGTGCTGCAACTACTTTTGTTAAAGGAGCCCTATTATGCTCATTTTCAGATTCATATTTGTATTTTGTGCTGAAATGTGCGATGTGAATAAACTTGCATTGACATTGATATTCTGGAGGTCACAATTGTCTAGGCTTTTGATGAAAAGATCTGCTTCATTTGGAATTTAAAAAACAAACTGACGGGCATACAGTATATGGGCATCTACTAATTGATATGATATGTGTTTTCACCTAAATTAAGACCCCGTTTACATGGAGACGGTTCGTGTTGTATCTGCTACTTTTCTCTTTCGTATAGCCCGTTCGTTCACACGAGGCCATAACCGAACCGCGGAAACGGACCCCTCAAACGATAACGGGTCCCAAGGTGGATAGATCTGCGGACGAAACGCTCTGGGGGGCCAAACGGCTCTGTGTGTACGTCCCATACGATCATTTCCTGATAACGATGAACCAATAGCCTCCACCTCTGCTGTTCACTGCTGTAGCATGGTCAGTAGCTACTGTCAGTAGCTACTGACCATGCTACAGATGTTAGTGCAAAATCTACAGCTCCTCTACCACAACCATCAGTAACAAGTGGACATGGAGAACTACATGTTGCTAAATCCACCGCGGAGCATAAACAGAAGGGCAATCAGACAACCATGCTCGGGGGTCTTCTTCGCTGCTTTTGGTGTATTTTGTTGCGGAAGTACAGCGCCACTTCATATGTACTACGTCTCCAGCGGGTCGAGTGGTCTCGTGTGAACGGACACGTTTCTTCAGCCGATACCGTGTGAACGGAATATTTTTTTGATATCGAATTTGGTTCATTCTCAGTTTCGTTTCCGTGTAAACAGAGCATATATGGGCCTAGAGGTTGAAACTCATTATTCAAGTCTAGAATTGAATCCTCTTGTTTTTCCTCCCCTGCATAAACATGTCAGCCTCCTCACCTTCATCCCTTCCTCCCAACTGATCCAAAGGTCGCCCCTCGTGAGGAAGCAGGCCACAGCATGCCGGGCCAGGTGATGGATCCAGCCCTCCTTCCGTAGCTGAGTCATGATAGCGTCAATCCAGGGAAATCCTGTCTTAGCCTCCGCCCATTTGGCAAGTGCTTCAGGATTTTTGTCCCACGGGATACGCACGCAGATCGGGTTTCCCTCCATCTTGTCGAAGCGTGGGTTGTTGGTTGCTGTGGTGTAGAAGAACTCTCGCCACAGTAGCTGGCCGTACAGGGAGAGTGGAGGGGAGCTGTTCTTTTTCACCTGGAGAAAAATAAACACGGCAATAAAACATTAAGTACACAATGTCAAGGTGAAAAGATAATCACAACCGAAAAATGTTTTTTTTGTTCTAAGACAGGTGTGCAGGATTGTGACAACAGTGCGCGGAAGCTTTTTTTTACAATTTTCGGTAAGAAAATCTGAAAAATAGATATACAAGCATGCTGGCTTAGCTGTGAGATGTGAGATGTCTTTTAGAGCTAAATTGAAGTAGCACTAGTCTCTAAATCTTACATTTTGGCACTCATATCATTAGGTTTTTGGTCGAGTTGCAACGACTTGATGTCTGGGGAATTCTAACCTCCATAATTTCTTCTCATTGAGCTTTATTCTATACCTACACGGTGACATACATATGTATCGATACCTAGAGAGCATGCGCGAAACATGGGTGTCACTGATTTGATTTGGGAATTTTACACACCGCCTGTAGAAGTTGATATGAAACAGCACAAGTCAACATGTATGTTAGACTGGAGGAGTTGGGATCTGACCTTGCGGTAGAGGTCGGTGAGCTTGAAGTAGAACAGGCGGCAGGAGAGGCAGCCGAAGCGCAGGTATGGGCTGAGGCCAGTCGGGCTGGCGAGCAACGAGTTGGCGTTCATTCTGGGACGCTCAAAGTTAGCCACCCACGCCTGGAAAAAAAATAAGGAGAGAAATACAGGAGGTCAGGGAGAGAGGTAGGGAGTGATGAGAGGTACTAGATAAGGCAGGGCACTGTTATAAAAGGTCATCATTTTAAATAAATGGCATCATTACTCATAAATACTATATTACTATACCTTAGTATACAATTACTTGGTGTGCTTTGGTGTGTTATTGTACATAAACACAGTAAAATAAATTAAGATGTAAAATAAGTACAAATACGACAAAAACTAATTGTAAAAACTATTATAAAATAGAAAAACAAGTACAAATTTAACAAATTACTGATACATTATATTCAACATTTAAAGTGGAATAGCTACGCTGTTTTAAAGTGTTATTATAATGCGGAAATGTTCAAAATAGTGTAACACATTTGCAAAAGTTGACATTACAGAGTCAAATGTTGTTTATGAGGAAAGTGCTTAAAGGTGACCTATCATGCAAAATGCACTTTTGTACATCTTGTATACATGAATATGTGTCCCCAGTGTTCCAGGGAACTCACGAAGTGTCAGAAAACACAACCCTCTCTATTTTCCTCCATACCCAAGTCTCTTAAAAAGGGGCTGCAACGGATCTGATACAGACTGATCCAGATTTGAACACTTCTCTGATGTCACAGAAGTTGCGCTACGGCTATTGGGCCAACTCCACCAATCAGGAGGAGACAGCCACGGACATTGCCGTTCCAAAGCGCTGGAGACGCTGTAGTACATATTTCAGGCCTGTAGATGGTGCTGTTCTCACAGAATCAGCCCATGCAAAGACAGTGTTAAATTGAGCGAAATGAGGAATGGCTAAAATGCATGATCTGTTTGGTATTTTGAAAAATAAAAAGTATAAATATGCCTGATATAGGTATGGTCCCACACTATATTATTCAAATATAGCATGATAGGTCCACTTTAAATAAGTGTGTTACTAGAAGCAGGCGGTGCAGTACCGACCTTTCTCTCCAGATGGCGCTCTATCCTCGTCAGAGCCTCGGTCTCTCCTCCGGGCCAGACGCCTGTAGGCAGGCCCTCTGTGTCAAAGCCTGAAAACAATCATGGGGATTACCTTCCTGCTTTAAAGTGTTGCACTCACATGCTGGATGAGTCCACAATCCTTCAGTTATGTCATGCTCCCTCAAATAACAACATGTAGTTTCATCCAGCAGATACAAATCCATACAAAGCATCATTATTGTTGGCCTTGACAACTGTTTGGATGATAGAACATGTTGATCTTTTTTGCTTATATCCAATCTATGAATATAAATCTTATAAACAAAAGGTTACTGTGTTGTTGTCCTTGTATGTAGTTGTGTTGTGTACTGTTCAACCGCTTTGTCATTGTCTTCAATTTGTATATAAAAAAAGTCAGTAAACAAAGACAAAAAAACTTGTTCCACACTTACTATGTACACATTAACACATTTAAGATAAAAAAAACTCTGCAAAGAGGGTTTTAGAATATTGTAATATCATATATATTTTTTTAATGATAGTCCTTGTGTGTACGTTTGTTTCCTCACCTAGCTCCTCCAGGGACGGGACCCCGTACTCTTCTCCGTGGTCCTCAGAGACGGGGGTGACGCAGCGACCCATCAGGGCGTCTGACAGCGTCTCCACGGGCATCTCAGGAGGATCCATTCGACTGATCAGAGTCTGGAAACGCTTGTAGGTGAGAGGAGGCTGTCCGCCATTCAGCTCTATGATCCTGGGGAGGGATGGAGACAAGGACCGATCAAGTTTGAATCTTAAATCAAATTTCCAACAGATATTAAAATATTACGAAAGGAAAGTCAACAATTATTTAGCAAAATATTTAAAAGTAAAGCTTATTTTTTTTTAAATGAAGTACTGCTTGTAGTCTATTATCTAGTTATATTAGTACAGCAAAGGAATAAATAGATATATTTTGAGATTCAAAAATAAATTATATATATATTTTTAACTAACTAGCTTCTAATTATCTTAAAAGGTTGATTCACTTTAGTATGTTCCTATCAATGCCTTTACATTCTTCAATTTTTTTTATGGAAATAAAAAATACATTTTCACACGGCTCATCGTAAATAAAACGAAATATTTACATTTATAGAAAAGAATATCATGTATTTATTATTTACACCTTCAGATACGATGAGACATCTAGCTTCACAACAATTTACTCCATGTATATTTTAAAATGGTGTATTAGTATTTGTCTCACTTGTCTAGATCGTAGAGGGTGTGTGACGTCTTGACGATGACCTCCACCCCGGCCTCCATGGCCAGCTTCTTGATGGCAGCGTCTCTCTCCTTCCCAAACGGCTCCGTATCGTACTCAAAGGTCAGGCGAGAGATCTTCCACTCCTACGACAGGACAGGGAGATATCACAGTTTACTCAGCAGGCACAAAGAGACGTCTTCAAATGTTGTTTTATTTAACAGACAGTCCCAGACTCAGCATATTCTATTGTCAATATTTATACTTCTTAAACAACTTTGTTTAAATTAGATTATCAGAGCACGTGCTGATTTTCTGTTATTGATGACCTTAAAGAGCCGTGGGAACACGTTGGCTGGTTGGCCTCTGATGACAAAGAGGCGAGAGTTGAGCTTCCTAAGGTTGGCATCAAGATCCTCCAAACACTGAAGGAGAAACCTGAAGAAGAAGAAGAGGACAACAAATTAATTACTGATCATCTGATTATACCCTGGAGTCATGAGGCAAATAGAAATGTGTCTTTGACAGAAGAAATGGGTCCACCAGCAGAAATTCCGCAATACCATTTTAATGGCTGTAGCTTTTCTCATATAATAGTATAATAAATGACAATACAGTAATTTAATTGACTGTGATGACTGTATTGTAATTTACGATAACTGTGAATTAAAACAACATATACTGCAATATAAGACTCCAGCCATAACGCCCACATGTAGTTATGCCCACCTGTGCTACATTTTCGCTAAGCCCAACAAAAAAAAGTACTATTTATTTTCTTTCTAGGTCAATAGGTTTGATAAAAATGTGTGTGTTGAGAGACTTAGAAGAAATGTGTGTGTTTGGGGCTTTATGACGCAGTCGACCACCAGGCGAGAACACATCTCCCTCACTGTCAGACTCACAGCTTTAATGGATTCACATAGATTAGAAAAAAATAACATGGTAGCTCCCTTTGTGCCTCCAGCCCTGAGGAAAAGAGAATAAAGCCAGCCTATTATTTGATGCGCCATCTATGATTACTCTAGGATGCATTTAACCTTTTTATGTGAACTGTACATTAGCATCTCCATTATTGCAAACCCTGACCATGTGATCATGATTGTCCTTCTGAAGCGACCGTTTTTGTGGTTCTACCTGTGACAAATGGCCTGAATGTCACTCGTGACGCACTCTCCTCTCTGTTCTCCAAATTGACTAATCATAGCTTCCGGTCGGTAACACGTTGTGGCGGAGAACGCTCATAGAAACCCTTGAACTTTCAATAATTTGGCCATGCAGTCAAATGTATGATTCTTTTTTCTTTTTCAAGCGGCACAAAACGTGTTCGGTTTGCTCCTGTAATATCCTCTTACAGCTTCCTTTCCATCTTTAAGCGATGTTTGGTTGCTAACTAAGCGATGGAAGTAGGTAGGGCGACATCCTGTGTTTTAGGCTTCCTGATATTATACCAGATTTCCTAGTGCCTAATGCCAAACTGTGAGTGGGAATTAGTGTGTTTGAGGGGTGCGTGTTGTTTGGTTAAGTAAATGCCATGGATCAATTACCATGGTTTCCACGGATGTAAACCAAGAATCATTTTATCAGTTTTCATTGTTGGCCCATTTTCCAGTGTACAGAGGGCTGAAGTGTAATCCCTCAAGTATGACGGTGCAACAACAACAACACATTTTGGGAGCACGATACAAAGCAGTAATGTACACTTTAAGTAACACACAATTCAGATGTATGCAACAGTATAAGTAGAAGAGTAGTTGTAGGTTTCAACAAAGCACTTTGACATCCCATTCAAAGGTGAGGGCGGAGATGAGACCCCGAGGCTATAAGGATTATTTTACAAAGCTAATAATCCCTGTGTGGTGTCTCTTTATTGTCATTGCTGTAAGACCTCTGCTCCCATAACATGTTCAATGAGGTCAAACTAAATCTGAACACAGACGGGCAGTGAGGTCACGCTAACTTGAGGCGTGGGCCTTCCTAAACATGATCTGCAGTTATGAAACTAGTGTGGAGCTGTTGCCCAAACTGACTGTCTGACTGCAGCTTTACTGCAGTTTTCAAATGTCCAATATATGCTTTCCATTTAAAGACATAAGCCTATGACAATTGTTGTATGCACACTTTTCAACCAACTCTAACAAGGATATTGTTTAACCACAGGAGTAATTCTAAGAAAAAGAGAGAAAGGATTTGATAGTTTGAAAACTCAGTGAGGATGTACTTCAAATTATTTTACGATAACTAACAAAATATGACATTTTCTTTGGGCGGCTTATGAGAAAAATTCATCCCATATTCTGCAAAATGTATTATCTGTAGGGAAAAAAATATTGAAAATCAGACTTGGTGTGTTTTTGATCATTTGATGTGTGTGCGCGCGCTACACTGGTAGCCTAGTCAGTCCTTATATAACTGCTCTGGCCTACATCTGGTTGAATACACTCTCTCAGCATGGAATTTGCCACAACCAATCCCTAAACTGAGTAACATTTATTTAATAATTTTTTATAAACCAAAGTTGTATAGTGCCTTGATTATTTAAATAGCAGCTCAACGGACCTATGAGATATTTTAAGTTGCAGTTTAAGGTAAAAATAACACTCCTAATTGGATGATGGGGTGTCATACACCGACCTGCAGGTCCTTGAACTTCAGAAATTGTAATCAGGCCAACCCTCTTGACTAGAGATGTCCCGATCCGATCACGTGATCGGGGATCGGAGCCGATCACGTGATTTTCAAAAGATCGGAATCGGGAGAAAAAAAATCGGGGATCGGGATTTAAATTTTTTTTTTATAAATACTTTTTTTTAAATTTTGTATTCAATGTTACAAAACAAAAATGACCATGTTCAAGTCTTAAAGTCATCCTGAGGCCTTAGTTTTGGTTTCAAATTACAGAACATCATGTATGTGTTGCTTCTTTGGGGCTTGTTTTCATAGACCTGGTTGCTTATTTCTCTCAAATCTGGCAACAGAGTGGGCAGGGCGCAGTGTCTAATTGTAGCAGTAAGCTAACGAGTACTGAAAGCTTTATTTTGTTTTGATCCAATGCTGCACAACCGAACTGATTCAATGCTGCTGTGAAAGAAAGAAGCTATATCCATGTTGGATAGAATATCCAATTTAAATAAAAAAATAACCTTAAGGGACAACTTGAATGCTTTTTTTCTCTTAATGTATTGCATAAAGATCGGATCGGGAAAAATCGGTATCGGCAAATTGTCAAAATCAAATGATCGGAATCGGATCGGGAGCAAAAAAAGGTGATCGGGACATCCCTACTCTTGACCCAACCCTGAGTCCATTAAATAACGCATGCTGTGCAGAAAAGGAACTCATCAAACACAAATAACTGTATTTCATACTCTAGTCAAGGTAAAAAAACATAGAAGTTGTAGCTGGGATTTTTATTAAAACTTGGGACTAAAACCTTCCCAGAGAACCAAATTAAAGCATGTTCAGAGAGCTATAGTGCAATGGGAATGTTTCATAAAAGGTTTCTCTTGAAAGAACCATTAAGACACTAATGATGGGAAAAAATAGATTCATTCAGTTTCAAATGTTGCATCCAGTTGTGGAAGCTGACCAGTTGTGGAGGTCAGCTAACAATGCTATCCGTAAGCTTCATGAAGTCAGCATTTTAACATCAAAACAAACTGACAATAATAAAGATGTGGATCCGCTTCACCAGTGACGTAAACATTTTGTTTTTAAAAACCATCAGCATCAGACACCACTGATGTGTGTTTCCTGCCTGTGTGACGCCATGGCAATCTGTTCATCATAAAGATCAGCTGGATATAGGTCAATGACTTCAGGATTGGATATTGATTCCTTGATTCCTGTGTCAAGAAGCAGCTACTGTAAGAGCAAAAACAGGCCAGTGAGCAATGAATGTTGGAGTGATATCTGCTCTCCTCCCTGCAGAGCAGATATCACAGTTCACAATTAGACTCAGCTCTCACATGGACTCACAGAAATCCCCAAAACACAGGCCAAGATGTATCGTACAAAACACAAACACGGATCTTATATACAAACCATTTATCCCTGCATCTATTTTAATAACCTTCTAATACTTAAAGCCTGGTTCTCTTTGGGAATCAGACTTGTGCTGGAACCTATTTATTATTAGGTGCATCACTGCCAAAGCTGTAAACCCATACTTATTACTTCCAAATCCACTCAAACTAAGGTTGATGATATTGTGTCGTCCCTGGTTCATTCAAAACCAAAGCCAGGTGGCAAAAAGAGGCTAAACACGTTTTAATTCATTTGAATGCTGTTGATGTATTGTGATTTGAACGGTGTCCATTATCATCTGGCCGGGGACAACAGCTGGAAATTAGCAATGTTGGCTAAAGCTGCCCCATTTACTGTTTTTTTGGGACAGTTGATCAATGGGGACTGTCCATGAAACAATAAACAAATAAACTAAACTAATAACCCTTGATCCAAATCCTCACTTAATTAGAAGGAAAGCACAAGACTGAAAAGCATCCAAACCTTTGGCAGACAGTGAGCAAAAGTCTCCCTCAACCATCAAATCTAAAAGCCTTAGATACAAAAGAAAACGCTTCAAAAGCAGAGAAAGGGTGACTCCCTGTTGTGTGTTCGAGCACTGCAGCTCCGTGGTTTTATAATGTTTGCTCTAGTTCCCTGTCTGCCCTTTCAGCAAATCCTGATTATGTATGAGTCACAGCTCCCAGAAGTCTCTCTGCAACTGACTTTGATCATCCTTATACAACAGGAATAAAGCAGTGAATTTCACATTATCTAATCTGACCCACTACACAAAGTGTTGTTTGTTCCCCCTTATTGCTTGTGTTTTGTTTTTGTGCAGTAATAAATATACATGGTTTTATTGGAGGTTAGGGTTACTATTTCTTTACTATTTCTAACTTAGGTGCAGTGGAAACAAGCTGTACACACAACATTGACAAATTACCAGCTTTTGAGGTCCTCATGTTCATACTGTTCAGCTCTGCCACTTTCAATTCTGATGTACTTCACATCTTAATTGTCATTTTCATATTGTAATTGCTTTTGTGTATGTTTATATATTTTTTTATTTGTATTTTTTTTGTAATAATTCTGTATTTCTTCCCTTTCGTGTAAAACTGAAATCCTCTTAATCAAAAACGCAGAAGCAAAATCATTGTATGTGTAAACCTACTTGCCAATAAACTGGATTTTGATACTTTACCAAATGTAGAAATGTGTTAAGTTATCCATGATATATAATTGCAGTCTTTAAACCAAAATTAAACAAAAGCGATATTTCCCACAAATTAATTATAAATCCTCTCACCTCCACCTGTTGACACCGACGTTGGACGAGCCTGCAAACCAAGGGTCCAGGAAGTAGACGCAGCGCACAGTGCCGGCTCCTTTGACCGCCTGCAGCAGGGCCGGGTTGTCATGGAGACGCAGGCCTTTACGGAACCAGTGGATGGAATTTGGGGCCATTTTGTTCTGAAGAGAGTAAAAGAAGAAGAAGAAGAAGAATGAGCAACTAAATGGTGCTTAATCTTTGGAGCTGAATGAAGACGTCATGTACAGAACAGAAAAATATGCACTTTGCTACTTTCTCTTTTCTTTTCTTTTTTTTTACAGTTTTCTCAGTACAAAACAAAATGTCCACAAACATAACTGACGCATTCAAGTTTTATCAGTTGCCAACACTGTCGGATGTTCCAAGAATACACAATGTGAGCAACACATCGCAAAAGCCAAATCATTTAATGCCGACTAATTATTGTTTAAAACTAACAATTGAGTGACCTTTAACAATTACGACAGATTACGATTTTATGACCTAAACTTTGTTGCTGCAAAAGATTATGATATAACGATTATGGGTTGAGCTGTAAATCAAAAGACTACTGATGGGCCAATAATTATTTTCAGGAACTATAATTATGATGCCGGAGGACATTTTCCTAGATATTTCTCTCTGTACTTATTATTGAAGCTGTTCATTTTAACATGCATCCTATGTGAGATAAAGCTACTAGATTACTAAATAGATTGGCTCATGATTAGAGGAAGCATAAACTGGACTGCAGTTCAGAACATCAGCAGATACTGAGGCATTAAAACATTGAAGTCTTAATAATTTACCAGCAGCACAAGTGACACTTTTAAATGAATTGCCACTTCAAGACTTATAAAGGCAGGCTTTCTTCGCTTTCTTCGCTTTCTTCACATAGATTAAACGGCAGTCAATAACAAAAGGCGTATGATGCACAGGACAGGACCCCATTTAAAATCAGCTGCACCATTACAATAAATGTAAATACTGTCGGATCGGATGCATTACTTTTGATTTCCAAAGGAATAATAAAACTGATTTTTGGCTTCACATAATGAGTTTGTGCTAGCTGTTGAATTGACGTGAAATAATGCCACCAGAAGATGACACCAAGAAGCTAAATTGAAGTGAAAACTAGGCCACACTTGTAATCCATTTTGTGAATCAAGAGTGATGATAGGCAGGGTCTTTCCCAAGCAAGTGTAAGCACTACTGGTAAAGGAGATCACAGACATTAGTAATTTACATGATTGGTTTAAAAAAGTTACAGGTCTAGGTCTAGCATCAGCGGAGTCAGAGACTTGCAGGAGTTGGATAAAGTTTTGGTGTGTGTTCTCAAAAATATTCCCTCAGTTGATATGGCTCCTGGGCATCTTGTACATGTTGTATTTACCTAATTTTATATAACTTAAAAATATTTAGGGGATGAAAAAGGGACAGGGTGTGGATGGGACACCAGCTGAGAGTGACTTGAGCATTTCAAATATTGCATTGCATAAGAAAGATGCAAAAATGAGTAAACAATATCCAAATAAATGTTTCTATTGCTTGATATTTGAAATATACAAATGTTTTAAGGTCAGTGTCAAAGCGATGGTTTGTATGACTTCTGCAAAAGAAAATTAGGTCACACTGTTTATTCTGAATGAATTGAATCGACCTCATAGGCTAGACATTATGGCATCTCCCATCATTAATACAAAATGACAGTGCAAATAAGGAGCTGCTCTCAAAATGTCATTAAGGACTGTAAATAGGTCTTCAAAAATATACTTTAAGTTCAAGTGATGGTAAGGAAGCACCATATCTGTAGAATAAATCGGGGTCACCAGAACAATCCTCATGCTGGTTATACCAGCCGGTTTCCTTAACACTCACACCCCACATATGCAAAATACCCTTCTTACCTTATGCCTGCTCCTTGTAGTTTATATTTATTTCAATTCCAAAGAAAGACGCATTTCTTCCCAGTGTTACGATGTACGGGGTAGTGCAGAGAGCCTAGAAGAACTCTGTGAATGTGTCTTCTGCTGCTGCACTAGTTTAATCAGAGTTAGGCTCACTGCGCATGCGCCAGCCGAATCTCATTTTGCTTTCAAGCAAGCCCCCAGGAAGTGCGCCGGACTCTGGCTGCATCTCAGGGTGCGTCCAGGGGCCGTCCCTGGCCAACTTGGGGCTCCAAGCGACATTGTGAGATGACCCCCCCCCCAACCGACAGGAGTGAACACATTTTTGTTGGGAAACAAAGTACTTTGGAAATATAATTCTTGTTTATTATTATTATCAACAGTTACTTTTTTATACAGTGAGGTAAATGGTAAATGTGCATGTATGTTGTTCAATATGCTTTTACAGGTGAATACGTCTGCATTTCCTGCCAAATACTAGCCTCAAAAATATTAAAATATAATTAATGCAAATAAACTACTTCTACTAATAATAATAATCATAATCAATTAAATAATATAAATACTATATTATTTTATTATAATATAGTTGTAATATAGTCAGGACAAAACATGCTTATTACATGCTAAAAAACTGATATTTCTTAAATCTGTATTCAGTTCCCTCTGTCAGCAATGTATCAACAACTACACACACATTCCTATCAGTATTTATCTGTGTTGTGGTTGACATGATGATGACTGTTAGGAGTTAAGGGGAGAGGCTGAGCA